CTGCTGCTGCCAATGCAGAGCCCCGGGGCGCGCAGGGGAGAGCCACAGCTCTGCTTCCCCATGGCCGCCCCTTCCCTCCGTGCCCCGGCCGAGCTGCATGGTGTGGGTGCCTCTGAGGACCACGAGGACTGACCGCTGGGCCCCCCTGCGTGCACCCACCACCCGCTGCACCACCATGTCTTTGGAGTGGCTGATGGGCTGGAGCTGGTCCCTGGACGGACTCCGGGATTTCATCGCCACTGGCATCCAGTCTTTCCGAGACTGCGACGCCACCGCCCTCGCCGCCGTCGCCTGCCTCCTGGTCCTCTTCGTGTGGTACTGCTACCACGTGGGGCGGGAGCAGCCCCGTGCCTACGCCACCGTCAACGCCCTGATGCAGAGCGCCGAGGCCAACGGCGTGCAGAACGGGTACGTCTACTGCCACTCGCCCGAGTGCGTGCGCTGCACGCACCACGACGGGCTCAACCAGAAACTCTACCACAACCTGCAGGAGTATGCCAAGCGCTACTCCTGGTCTGGCATGGGCAGGATCCACAAGGGCATCCGTGAGCAGGGCCGCTACCTCAACAGCCGGCCGTCCATCCAGAAGCCAGAAGTCTTCTTCTTGCCGGACTTGCCACCCATGCCCTATTTCTCCCGGGACGCTCAAAAGCACGACGTGGAGTTGCTGGAGCGCAACTTCCAGACCATCCTGTGCGAGTTTGAGACCCTCTACAAAGCTTTCTCAAACTGCAGCCTCCCACAAGGATGGAAAATGAACAGCACGCCCAGCGGGGAGTGGTTCACCTTCTACCTGGTGAACCAGGGCATGTGCGTGCCCAGGAACTGCAGGAGATGCCCACGGACGTACCGCTTGCTCGGGAGCCTCCGCACCTGCATTGGCAACAACGTCTTTGGGAACGCGTGCATCTCCGTGCTGAGCCCGGGCACCGTCATCGCCGAGCACTACGGACCCACCAACATCCGCATCCGCTGCCACCTAGGTGAGTGCCCGGCGGGGCGTCCCC